TCACTATATAATATTTTAATATATATTATTTTTATTCAATACCAATGAAGAAGATACGTACAATTAATTAATATTATACTTGACCCATAAGTTGTTAAGCTTTTCAAATATTCACCATTCAAAAGATTTACCAATACAAGTACAAGTGTAAATTCTCTGGCGTGAAGCTATCTCTAACCGCAGAGCATATCAATAATCAAAATGTATTGTTAATTAGGAGTACAATTTCAAGGGCATCTAATGTCCACCCAAATTGAGGATTAGTATCCTAGGGTAAGGGATGCTTGCAGCTGAAGCAATCATCTGGACTTCCCAAGCCATGTAAAGGATCCAACGGCAGAACCATTATGTGGGTCCCATGATACTTTTTCTGCTTCAAAATTTGGTTACTTCCGCAGCCACAACTGGCATACATATGACTAATAAGATTTGTTGTGGCTTAGGTGAGTTTAATAAGCCTTTCTTTTGAGCTAGTTTGGCTTTGAGTTTGAAACCAACTGTAAATCAAAGTTGGGAAGGTGAACTACCATTGCTTTTTACCTTTTTTTCCCACTTCCTACAACCACAACTCATCAAACTCATGTAGATGCTTCCTACCTATTGGTTTTAAATTCTCTATAAAAACCCAATGGAGGCTTTCTACTCTTCACAACAAGAAACAACATTTTAATTAAGAGAGATTTGCCTACAATACAACTAGCAGCTTCTTAAAACTCAGCCATGGCTTTTCCCAAGCCCTTCTTCATTCTGTCTTTGGTGGTGATTTTGTCACTCTCAAACACCCATATGACTGAAGCAGCTCGCCACCTTTTGGACACACCGGCAGCAGCTCCACCTCCAGCATTGGCATTCCCTACAATCCCATCTCTGCCAAAACAAACACTGCCTCCATTGCCTTCAATACCAACACTTCCCAAGCCCTCGAACACCTTGCCTACATTTCCAACAGTCCCAACTCTGCCCAAGGCCACATTGCCTCCATTGCCCTCTACCCCATTGCCTACCCTTCCAACTACTCTGCCTCCATTGCCAAGCTCTCAAATGCCTTCTTTGCCAAAACCTTCAGCATTGCCTACGTTGCCCACAACACTACCTCCATTGCCAGCCAATCCACTGCCCTCTCTCCAAATCCCAACAACAATCCCTTCTATCCCCACTATTCCATCAACATTTCCGACCATTTCATTCCTCTCCCCACCCCCATCAAATTAATTAAACCATTTGAGATTTGAGATATATGGATTGATCTCTTTATGCTTGCTAGGTCCTACAACCATCTAATTTCTTGTATTTCTCGTGTCAGAGAGCTTGTGAGGATGCTATTTTTCACGAATTCTTTCTTGTTGGGTTTCATGTATCTTCATGATATCTATATATTCTAGTGTTGCTCTTTTTTTTTT